GATGCTGATTTGGGAAGGCAGTAGGAAGCTTCTTTGTTATTGTTTTCTTCTTCATTATTAATGTATTCTTTCCCCTTTGTAGTGTGCATATATAGCTCGGCCTTATGGCCATTGTAAGCAGCATATTTTAATTCAAAAACCTTGTTTACTCTTTTGAGTATTCTCTTAAAATAGTGTGATGCTATTTTAGCCAAATTCCTAATTCTATATCTTAAGAGTGGTTCTCTTTAAGTGTGAGTTTTAGGTTCTAGATATTTAATTAAGTGTGTCATATCTTGATTGAATTCTAGATTCAAACCCCAAGTTAAGATAAGAGTGTATTATATCTCTTAACACCAACTTGGTTTATCCCTTCACTTTACCTCTGCCAATTTCATTTCTCACCATTTCTTCTTCTTGAACTTATTCTTTTCTTTCATCAAAAACCCAAAAAAAACAACTCTTTGTTCCACCCCCATATTTCGTCCCCCTCATTTCCTCTTCACCATTCCATAATTCCATCTTCAAATAGCAACTTGATTATACCCCGGGTCTCGGGTATAACAAATTGTAAATGTTCTCTAATCTATACACAGGCCTAATAGTCTTCAACTTCCTTTTTTAGGCTAAAACATTTAGGTTCCTTTCCAAAATAAAATAGAGATCAACTCTAGAAGGTTTTAACTTCCTTATAGTTCAAGTGATATATAGGTGAAATACACATAATGAGAGACTAAATAGGCAAACTGCAAAGGATATCATACAACACGGCTTTTTTCACACAAGTTGTTGCTAAATTCCAAAGATTTGAAAACATTATGTAAAGATGACACTCTTTCACTCCCGTAAAAAGGTTCCACATTTCTTTTTTCTATTTGTCTAGAAATTAGGTTTCACTTTTCTGCATAACTCTCAACCACTCAATTTCATCTTTATTAATAATCGTGACCAGTCAAATGTGGAACCTTAATTCGAGACGGGGGAAGAAGATTATAATTAAAACTTGGACATCAAATCAATATTGTTAGAGAACTTCATAATCTTTATATGATAGGAAATGCACCTCATAGGGGAACATGCAATTAATTTTTAAGTGCTTATGAAAGACCATACATGTACCAGATTATAGGATAATATTCCATCCATTAGAAGTAAACATAGACATTGACAACAAATCACACAATTTTAGGTTTTCAAATTTTGAGAATGAATATCAAGAGATCATCTTTTAAGCCGTAAAATACTGTATAATGAAGCAAAAAAACAATAACTTTCCAATATCCCGGAATTGGTAAAGTTTATTCAGCAATATCAACCAAACATTTGTTCAGTACTATTACTGAACACGGCCACCTAAACCCCAAAAAGAAAATGTGACAGGAGAATATGAGAAAAGAAATACTAACCTGCTGCTTTTCCGAAGGTAAACTAGCTTTCTCAACCCATGAGACGGCAAGATCAACATTTTTCATAACCCTTCCCAGAATATTTATCACATAGAGATCAACAACTTCTAGATATTCATCAACTCCAAGCACAATCTGCTTATTGAAGCCTTTGACATGAGTAATGTCAACTCCAAGCCTTCCTGAAGCATAATAATTTCCATCCATGTATTCCCATTTGCTAAGATATTCCTCAAGGATATCTTGAAAATCAGAAGAAATGAAACCAGGTATTTGGAGGCATGCCCTAACAAAGAATGTTCTATGTCACCTTCTACAGAAAGACACGTCAACTACAACAACCCAGTATAATCTAAACTCCGTTGGAGTTTGGGGTCAAGATGTATGCAGCCTTACCCCAGTAAAAATAGAGACGCTGTTTCCGTCAAACCCATGATGCATTTACTACCCAAAACTTCATAGAGAGTAAGAAGCAAGAAGTTCAATGTGCCTTTTTTATTTAGGATGTGCTTATTGGCTTATTGCTGACAAACAGTTGTGAACTTATAAGATGCTTATAAGTTAAATATTCATTCGTGGAAGGAAGATGACAAATGATAGATAAGTCATTTGAGGATATTCATAAACGCCGAGGGATAGTTTTGTAAATAATCTAGTCAAAACAGAGAAATGAAAAAACTAGCTTAAATATAAGTAGGTAATAGCTACATATTTTTTTTACTTTTAAGCATCTTATTACTTATAAGCACCGTAGTTGTCATGGCACCAAGTCGAGGCGCGGCGTTGGGGTATTGCCAGAATGCCTAATCGGCGAGGCAACCGCCTACGGTGCCTAGGCAACAATTAGGCGACACATAATATAGGAGAATTGTTATACATTAAAAACACCAATATAAATACAGAGTATATCACATTATGTATTGTAGTTGATAAAAGTTAGAAAGTTTCTAATACAACAAAGTTTAACAATCAAAGTTACTTTTAGGTACTTTCCTAAATAAAAAAACCAAAGTTGAAAAAAAGCATTGCCAACATAAATTGGAAATAAGTTAATCATTTAACATTTAAAAAATGAAGCACTAAGTATTAATTAGGAAGATAAAATAGGAAAAAAACATTAAATTGAAAATAAACTAATTTATAAAGCATTAAAAAAATAAAGCACGGGAATCAAGGGTATAAAACACTTTGGGTTCCACAACGCCTAGCCAACGCCGTGACAACTATGATAAGCACAGAGAAACACGTCATCAACTGACTTTAAGTTTAAAAAAGCTTATAAGCACATAAAAACAACCACTTGGCCTATTCAGTGCCTGAAAAAAACCATTGTCAATGATGACTCTCATAGCTCCATTAGCTATGGACAGACTTAAGGCTTTAAAGTATATTTGTCTAGATCCAAATAGTCCAATATGTATACAAATGTGGATATGTCTACACAGAATTATTTAATGAATAGAAAATAACATAGTTCAACTTTTAATGAAACTTCCATGTATCTACAATCATTGTCACATGCAAGAGATTTGATGGTAAACATAAAACTACTGTAACAAACTAATATCCATGATCAGAGTAAATGAGAGTATGAGACAAATGCAGAGAAGAGTGTGCGGTATTAGTCATCCTTTCATGAACATTAGGTCGAACATGCAATATAAAGAAGTTACCCAGTATAGAAGACATGAGCAGGGATGGCAGTGACTGAACCAAACAACATCTTAAGTTCTTTCAGTATTTCTGAGATCCTGCGCGCACACAAAATCATATTCATATTTGCCTGTGCCAAAAGCCATTGTTTGCACTTTTATTGACAAATACAATAACTACTCGCAGATTAAGATCTAGACCCAAAATCGACATAAACTATCCATATTTCTATTCTATTGCAATAGCAACAACAAACAAACAAACACAGCAGCATTTCAACTTCATTAGTCCCTTGATGCATTGTTACATTTACTCCCCAAAACTTCATATAAAGTAAGAAGCAAGAAATGCTTAACATGTCATTGTAAATTTTTCCAGTATTTATCCAAAATTAAAACATTGTAAAAAAGGACTATATTAGCTCCATTGGCAATGGATGAAAATATACCCACCAACACAAGAGCTGCTGCATTATATGAAGGCGTGGTGGTTCTAGGGTTAAAGATATACCTTCCAAGTTGATTCAAAGACTGGACAAAGGCCATTCCAGCCGACTCCAACATATCAACCAATTCATCATTGCATTCTGCAATTTCATGATTGTGTATGTTATTGTTGTTAGAATTAATGATCTCTAACAAGCTCTTCAGTACAGAGTGAGAACAAGAGGCTGCCTCATCGTACATACAGCACACCAGATAACTGCAAAACTCAATCGAAAAAAATTAGATTTCCATTAAATTTCAGTGAGTGAGAAGTACAAAACAGGCAAAAGATTTCACCTTTCAGCGCGTTCAATATCTTCCCAGAAGGGATGAATTGCAGAGTTGAATGTGGGTTCCACTTCTTCCATCTCTGAACCCGAACAGAATTAACAACTCACTGGATCATGGATTGGATTCAGTTTTTCTTAAATTGGTATTTTTAGCAGTTTTCTGAAATGGATCCATTTTCATAATAAAAATACATTAGTACAATTACTGGTAATAAAAATATGTATACAGTACCTTTCTGCTTGGATCTTCAAAGCGTTGCCTCTAAAGTATGCTTGGAGCTTCGAAGTGTCGCGGGTGACATCTGGTGCGTCAATTTCTACAACCCGTCTATGCCTGTGCTTCCACCGGTCTCTACATCCGTCTAATAAGTCAATTAGGTTTTCAACAGGGAAATAATTTTGCACCATGTGCCTCAAACTTACACAGTTACACGAAAATTATACACCAACATTTTGATAGGTTTATACTGACACAAAGTGTTGGTACATTAACAAAAAATAGCATTGCAACAACACAAAATATTGGTGCACACTTGCGGTACCCTCCAATTGCACCCTGGGACAATTTTTCGTGCTACTTTCTTTTGTCATTGCGATTATCGGTTTGGACTAGGAATCTCCTAGAATAAATTTGGAACAACCATTAATAAGAGGACTGTTGAAGTTTAGGTCCGAACCGAAAAAACCAACCGAATCGGGCCGTTAGGTCCATACCAAACTCAGAGCGACTGAATTTCGGGTCAGTCTTTGGTCTAAAAATTAAGCATTCGGGTTTCAATCTGGTCCGGTCTAAACCCAAAATGATTTGGGTCTAAATCGAATGGACTGAATAATCCTATTAGATCTAAAAGACCTAAACAATAAAACTCTACTTTTTAAGTTTGGTATTACACGTAAATGCTCTGTTTTGATAGATATCTTAACTTATTTAATCAAGAAGGTTTTTTACTTTTTTAGCAATTCAAAAAATAAATTATTTCACATTAGTTTATAAGATTATACATAGAAGTACTTGTATATATTTTTAGTCTGTCCATTTTTTTTCTCATTTGAACTATACAAATTAAAAAGCCTAAAACATAATTAATAGATCAAAATAATTAGAAATATATATTTTCTGGATTCAATTGATCCAGTCAAGTTCGGTCTTAAGTATTCTGATCTGGTCCAATCCAAACCTGAATAGAGCCATGTTCTTCTTAACTTATTTTGTTAGTTAGTACTTATTCTTATTGGAATCAGATTAGATCAGACCAGACCAGATCATAAATAACTTTAAATATATATACATTCAAATTGGATCAGAACAGAATTTATTCCAATCATATCAAAACTAATAAAATCAGGTGAAGAGGGCATGGCCTAGATTTAGGTCTATTCTTTGGTCCGTAATTTTGTTCAATTCGATCTTCGGTCCAGCCTTAGACCGATGAACACCCCTAATTAATAGCTTGAACTAAACAACATGCAGGGCTTGCACGAACATTCGCATGTGTAAGTACTATCATGCTCTAAAAGCTACGGAGTACTAATTAATTATTACGGAGTGCATATATTAATTTTCCTCTAATAAAAAATAAGCTAACTAGAATACTTCCTCCGTCTCAAAATATAAGCAACACTCCACTATTTAAAAATCACGAGAACTTTTATTTATTTTTACATTTTCATTGATTATTTGATAAAATAAAATATTCTTGTCACCATTTGTTTTGTAGAACTTTTGACGTAGTTTTTAAATATGTAAGTTTTATTTTTCATTTGTAGACCACTCTTTAAATAAAATGGATTGAAAAATTCAAAAAATTACTTCGTTTAGCGTAATGTTACTTATATTTTGGGACGGAGGGAGTATAACAAGGAAAAAAACTTACCGAAAAAAGAATACAACAAAGAATGACCACATTTACTCTTCAGGAGGAAAACTACACATAAATAGTTTCTTGGACCCCATTCTAAATGCGACGGAGTACATTGAAACGAATTATGGGTTTCTGAATTAGCGAGTGCCACACCAATCCCTGCAGTTCAATCTTTATCATCTGTGGTGTCTTTTACTGATAATGATGAAAGTTCTTCAAAGATCATCTTCATATCAAGCCTTTCATCTGCAGGAAGGATGCAACTAATAAGAGCAACGCAAAGCATGTCATCAAGAACCGCCACACACCCAGTCGGATCAAAGCACTCCAGTGACCGATTCTATGCAACCAACAATCTCACCCATTCACTTAAAGCCAGCGTCCCAGCAACAATGACAGCAGACTTTTTCCCAGTCAAGAGCTCCAACAAAATGACTTCAAAAGCATATACATCACTCTCACTACAAGAATTTGTCTGGTCTGCAACGTAAATCTGCTACGGACTCATTTCCGTAGCAGATCTGCAACGAATCAGCGACGAAAGTGTAATCCTTACGGATACTATTTTTCGGTAGCAAATCATCCACGGATTACTTTCGCCTGTCGAAATTTAAGTTGTCAAATTTTGACCTGATAATCTGACTCTTGTGTCCGTAGCAGATCTGTCGCAGGAAATCTAGATTGTAATTTTCCAGCCATTGGTCCTTCACTTCAACCCTATCCCGATTCTCTCTCCCCGTCAGCCGTCCTGCGAACGCCGCCCCTCCGCCAGCCTTCAACGTCCGTCCTCGCCAGCCACGCCGTCCCGCCCAGCCGCGCCAGCCACGCCGTCCTCCCCAGCCGCGCCAGCGGCGCCGTCCACCAGCCGTCGCCACCCCTCGTTGACGCCGCTAGTACTCCCCTGCCAGCCGTATCTCTTCCCCCGCTGGACCTCCTCTTCCTCTTTGCCGTGAAGGTATTTTTGTTTAATTTAATTTTTGGTGAAATTGAGTGCATTTTTGGTGAAATTTACTTAAAATTGTGTGAATATGAGATGAAATTGACATGAAATTGGGTAAAAATTGCATTACTTTTTGGTGAAATTGATGGCATTTAAGGTGTAATTTTAGTTAAAATTGTGTTAGTAAATTTGACGTTTATTGTGAATTTAGGTAAAATTTAGTTGAATTTTGTGAAATTGAGTGCATTATATGTTCATATCTTAATATCTATAGTTAAATGATTGTTGTTTGTGGTTTAATAAGATTGTCGTTTGTTAGCCACCTTTATTGTTGCTATGGTTTGTTGTCTCCCAAAAAATTTATGCACACCCAGAATTAAAAGCGATTGACCTTAGCACAAACCTCTTAAGTGGTTTCCTTCTTCCCTGCCTCTTCAACTCTACACGGTTGATTTACATTTACTTATCTTCCAACCAATTTAAGGGTGCAATACCTTACGAAGCAATGGCTCCTCAAAACCAGGCCCTGATATCACTTGACTTGTCAAAAAATGAACTGTCTAGGCATTTGTCTCCCGAGCTGAATAATTTCCGGAACATTGACTCTCTTGACCTCTCCAACAACAATTTTGAAGGTGACATTCCTAACAACCTACCAGAAACATTAAATGTTTTCAATGTGTCTGAAAGGTTGTTAGGAATGTCACCTTCAAAATTGTTGTTGGAGAGGTCAAGAGAGTCAATGTTCCGGAAATTATTCAACTCGGGAGACAAATGCCTAGACAGTTCATTTTTTGACAAGTCAAGTGATATCAGGGCCTGGTTTTGAGGAGCAAAAGCTTCTACGAACAATGGCAAATTTGTATTGTGATTTTCTGTTCATCAACCTGATTGTGTTTCTTTTGTTTTTGGGAACCACAAAACGGCTATCATTATTGATTATTCATAGAGTACAACTCTTACAATGCATATTTTGGAGTCATAGAAAATTAGAAACCACGAAAGACTAAATACAGAGTATTAAAGTAAAATGTAAAAATGGGAAAGATACTTTATCAATTAGCATTTTTGCTTTACTGCAGAACCTACCCTTAGTTTTTGTTACTGTTCGGCTGTTCCTTTAGTTATACTTGAAAATAGGCAAAGGAGACTGCATTGTTACATACAGATGGATTTTTTATTTTATTTTGCAGAACCTGTAGCAAAATGTTTTCCAAAATTGCCAAGATTAAGCTTGTGAGTTCACATCCTGAAGTGTATGAACCGTGCGATGATTCATTTGCATTAGTGGACGCGCTATTGGCTGATCAGGCTAACTTGTCAGATCACCGGCCCACATGTTGTATGGAAGTTGGATGCGGTAGTGGATACGTTATAACATCTCTAGCACTCATGCTACGAAATGAAGTGCCTGAGCCCTTTTATATTGCAACTGACATAAATCCTCATGCAGTGAGGGTGACTCGGGAGACAGCGGATGCCCATGGTGTTGATGTTGACTTGGTAAATACTGATATTGCCTTGGGAGTGGAGGCACGGTTGGCTGGGTTAGTGGATGTTTTGGTTGTAAACCCTCCTTATGTTCCTACTCCCGAAGAGGAAGTTGGTCGTGAAGGAATAACCTCTGCTTGGGCTGGAGGGGAAAATGGTCTGAGTGTGATCAATAAGATATTGCCTGTTGCAGACAAGCTTCTGTCTGAAAGAGGCTGGCTGTATCTGCTCACACTCTCTGATAATAACCCCTCTAAGATATGCCTTCAAATGAGAAAGAAGGGTTATGCATCAAGAGTCATTCTTCAGCGGTCCACTGAAGAGGAAAGCCTTCATATAATCAAATTTTGGCGTGATGCCAACTTCCAGTTAGAGGCAAAAGAATATCATAGTTTAATGGTGAAAAATGGTCAACAAAATGTCGATAAACCAGGGGATTTTGAATTTCCAGAATTGTTATCAGGGGGACGTCACAACTGCAATGCACTCTAAGTACCAATGCTTTCAAGGTACATTATTTAATTAGAATCTGCACATAGCTGATGATGGTTTTCATTTTGCATTGCTCATAGATATATGGTGTGCATAAGAATGTTTTATTCGGATTTTGGTACTACGCAGGCTTGATTTAGTTTCTAAGCAGGAGTGATTGATCTTTAGGTCTCTCTCTCTCTCTCTTGCGTTATTTAGTAAAGCCTCCCAAGTCCTAACCTCTTTTAGAAAACATAGAAGTCTTGTTTCTATCTTATACAATTAACTCCCTTTGAGATTTTTCATGCAGTAATTTATACACTGTTTTATAGCAGTATCTTCTTGTACAACTCTAGAAGGCTGTTTTTAAGTTTAAATCTTTAGGATGCTACCTCTGCACCCATTCCACATATTCTAGTCATTCACCGTTATGGAGGACAATCTAATGGTATGTTTGGGAGGGGGTAATATTAGGTAGCTAAAGGTAAAATTTACTTCAGTAAACTGAGACAGGATTTACCTCCTCATTACGCCACACTCCTTTCTTCACCTCCAAATTAGCGAAAATATGATGGAAGTAACTCCCAAATTTAGGAATACTCTTTGGCCAATTCTGCAACAAGGCAACAGCACCGAGAAGCTCCCACGAGGCAAAGAAGCTGTGACGATTTACATTGAGAGACTGAGGTAAGATTTACCTCCTCATTATGTCACACTTCTTACTTTCTTCACCTCCAAATTAGCGAATATATGACGGAAGTAACACTTCCAAATTTAGGAAGACTCTTTTGGCCTATTCAGCAAGAAGGCGAGGCACCAAGAAGCTCCCAAAGAGCGTAGAAGTTGTGAAGACCCATCTTCGTCTCCCTCCTAAATGCTGCCATCGCTGTAACTTCAGAGCCCGTCTCTACATTCTTCACCTCGCTGCTGCTGGAAGGTGAGTTATGCGTCTTCTCTGATTCGATTAGGGTTTATGTGACACATTATCTTCTCTTGGATTGCTTCGATTTATCTTTATTTGTGCGTTTTGATTCCTTCTGAGACTTCGATTATTGTTTAAGTGTAACTCTGTTTTTTGTTGTAAATGTTTTTTCTCTGCAATGTGATCATGATGCGTCCAAAATCTGAATTCCAAACGATGGCATTAAGCAGCTAAAAACTCATACAGTTTGAATTTTCACTTGATTAACCTCTTAAATAAAGTTGTGTGTGATCTCTGTTCGATATTGGAATGTCTAAACTCTACAGTCCCATGTGTATATAATGACGGAGTATGTTAAAGCCAATTCCCAGTCCCAGTCAATTTTAGTTGTTTAGGTTCTGATTTTCGTCTTTTTTTCCCCATTGAAACACAATTTAAGTTGATACGAAGTATAATACTGAAGTTACAACAAATGAACTAGTTCTGTACTTTATGCTTTAAAACGAAATCTTCAGATTGCTCAACTCAGAGTTCCAACAGCTTTGAGGTGCCATTGAGTTCTTGAACATTTTGAAACATGAAAACCGTACCGTTTTATGAAACAGAGGGAGTTTTATTTTTCAATTACTGTTTTCACAACTATGCCAACTAAAATAGCTCTCTCGTGTTAGTCTGATGTTGAGGCCGAGCGTACGACCTGTCTTCGGAAGTCTCTTGGCGGAAGGCCGACCAAGGGTGGTCCGAGGATGACCGACCCTGCCGGGGCCGAGCGCGTACCGTTGCCGGGGTGGTCTTCCATGGTCCTTTGTTCATTCTTACTTTGGTCCGGCCAAGTGGGCCTTAGCGAAGTTGGGCTGGGCCGTCTTCTTGTTGGGCTGGATACCCCCATTCCCGGGTATCCATCAATGCGTTTGAAATGTTTTTTAATCACCCATATTAGTACCACTACACTACTCTGGCGAAAATACTAGAGTAGTTTTTAGATGTACTGAATGCAAAATGCCAAGAATAATTACCGTATAAAATAATATTTAAATTTTTTATTAATGATAAAATTTTTTTATCAATTTATATTGAGGTAATTCCCTAGATAAGATTAAAATATATAGAGTGCTCTGAATATTAATTAACTAATGAATCTAAATTTACATAAATATATGCAAACACTCTTTTCATAATGTTAGGGTATTATAATATTTACGTAAATATATGCAAATGCTCTTTACAAACAAAAATAACCCAATTGAATCCCACAAAAATAAACTTTGAAAATGGTGTATTACACAAAAATAGTTCAACATATTTTGATTTTTAAAAAAGAAAATTTTCATTACCACATCAACAACGAGCAAATAAAATCTGGGGTGTAGGGTCCCACAAACAATAATGAGAGTATGAGACTCAACATGTCGAGCTAATTTATGAGCAATAACATTAAATTTGAAACTATGCCTAATAAATGAAAAGGAAACAAAGTGAAAGTCACTTGATATCAAGCTTCAATCATCAATAAGAGCACCAAAATAGGAAGAAGACGAAAAAGACTCATTCGTTAGACTATTTACCATCGCCATGCAACTTGAAAAAAGTTCAACCTCTCTCACGCCTCTCGCCTTTAGCCATATGAAAGCCTCACGCCATGACCTCCACTATTTGAGGATCCTAAGGAACAAGGAAAAATAGTTTAAAAAAAGAATTTCAAAGATATTCATGAAAAAAGAAAAAAAGGAAAGAGGCCCATTTCTAAACAATAGCAAATTGTACGGAACAACTGGTTGTATCATTTTTCGAGTACAATTGACAATTAGATTGGAGGAGAGGCGCATCGATGAAGCAGGGGCTGAAAATTGGATGACGGGCAGTGATTGAAGACAAGTGAAGGTGGTGGTGGCGGCTCGGTGACCCTAGCCGACGAGTCTTCTGTAGAAGATGGAGGTCGCCCCCTCCTCGTTGTCGTATTTGCTGGTAGTGCTGGCATCGATTGAAGATAGAGGATATGGGGAGTTGGCGGTAGCTTCGTTTATTGAAGAAGAAAACAGAGATGGGTGCCCTGCCCCGTGGGTCAAGAAGAACTCCCTATATATGTATATAATAAGTTCTAAATTGTTTTAGATTTAGAATGAGCAATATGTTGCTTCAGAATGAATGCTACGTGATTTGAGAATGAACACTACATTATTCTTAAATGAGTATTATAATTTTAATGAACAAATGTGTTAAAATGAAACATAATATTGTTTCAGAATGAGTACTACATTGATTCAAAATGAACATTTGTGCTTTGTGCAAAAATTAGCACTACTTAAGTCCAAAATGAGTACTACCCGACCGGCTGTGCCATAGTTCATGTTTAATATATGCACTCCAAGGCCATGTTCTTTTCAACTTATCTGATTAATTCTGATGTGATTGAAATAAGTTCTTATTTGAATGTAATTATATTTAAAACTATTTCTGATTTAAATATCTTATTCTAATACGAAAAGGGAGAAAGACTAAAGTAGGACTAAAACATTGTAAATATACCAAAATATGACTTCCATGTTTTTATTCCCAAAATAGGACTTACATTACCAAACATTGTCATATACATTACTAAAAAAGTATAGTAATTTGCACATGTACACTGCCACATTACCACAATGCAAAGTCACATTACCACAGTGCAAAGTCTTATTTCAAAAAAAAAATATTAAAGTCCTAATTTGGTACTTTTATCTATGTTTTAATTCTATTTATGATGATTTCTATAATTATTCTAATACGAAAAATACTCCGTAATAAGTAAAAAAAATAAATTGAGAATGAAAATGAACAAAACAATCCATCACACATTGGCTTAGCAGGACCAAGGGGCATTCGTGGGAACTCTTATTTCTCTAAACAAGCCGGCGATTGTGAACTCATCTTCCTCCACGTTCCCTGTTGCCGCCGCCGCCGCCGCCCAGCAAACTACATACCCGCCGCCGCCGCCGCGTCAATTATCACTTCAGTTGCCTACAGACTTCCCCTTTACGACCCATTTTTCAATTTCACTTCATCATTCTCAATTTCGAAGGTAACTATGATTATTTCACTCAACCTCACTTCAATTTCATCTAGAATTATAAGCGTCCAATCTTTTCCTGTCGCAATTTGGCGCCTGCTCCATAGTAATCCCTACCCTCCTCTCCATAATGAAGACGTAGATAAAATCTTCCGCATCGTCACTACGGCAAGAACTCCTGATGACATGAAACAGTCGCTGAAATTTTCCCAGATTTCCATATCCAGTGAAACGATTGATGGTGTTCTGAAAAGGGCAAGATTCTCTCACTCGAACCCATTACTCATCCTGGAATTTTTCAAATTTACTTCGAAGAGACGCGAGTTTTTCCATTCTGCTTTTTCGTATGACACTATGCTGTATATTCTTGGTAGAGACAGGAAATTTGATGAAGTGTGGGAGATTTTAAAGGAAATGAAGAGAAAAGACCAGTCTTTGATTACTTCAAGAACCGTTCAAGTGGTTTTAGCCAGGTTGGCTAAGGTCTGTTCTGTTTTGCGGACAGTTGAGTCCTTTTGGAAGCTCAAGAAATTCGTCCCCCAGTTCGATACCCGTTGTTTCAATGCTCTGTTGAGGTCGCTGTGTCAGGAAAAGTGCATGTCGAGTGCTAGGAATGTGTACCGTAACTTGAAGCGGGACTTTAAGCCTGACTTGCAGACCTTTAACATACTTTTGTCAGGTTGGAAATCATCAGAAGAGGCTGAGGAGTTTTTCTCAGAGATGAGGGAGCATAATGTGGATCCAGATGTCGTTTCGTACAATTGTTTGGTTGATGTTTATTGCAAGGGGAGAGAGGTTGGCAAGGCGTTTGAGGTTGTGACGGAAATGAGGGAGAGGGATATTGATCCGGATGTAATCACATACACGAGTTTGATTGGGGGTCTAGGGCTTGTAGGGCAACCAGATAAGGCAAAGAAAGTTTTGACAGAGATGCGAGAGTACGGATGTTACCCTGATGTTGCTGCTTATAATGCTGCCATTAGAAATTTTTGCATTGCAAATAGGATTGGGGACGCGTTTAAACTGGTAGATGAGATGGCAAAGCAAGGTTTGGACCCTAATGCAACTACCTATAATGTGTTCTTAAGATCATTTCATCTGGCAAATGATTTGAAACGGGCATGGAGTTTATACCAGAAGATGAAGGAGAACGGGTGCTTGCCAAACACACAATCCTGTATGTTCTTGATCAGATTGACTATGAGACATGAGAATGCAGAGATGGCTCTCGAGTTGTGGAATGACATGGTTGAGAAAGGATTTGGCTCATATACATTGGTATCTGATGTTCTATTTGATTTGCTTTGTGATTTGGGAATGTTGAAAGAGGCAGAGACGTGCTTCTTGCAAATGGTGGAGATGGGACAAAAACCTAGCAATGTTTCTTTTAAGAGGATCAAGGTTCTTATGAAATTGGCCAATAAGGGTGAAGCGATTCAAAATTTGTCAGATAAGATGGCTGCTTTTAGTTCTGCAGCTAGACACAGCCTCGAGAGTCAGACATCAAATTTTGAATCCAACTTCATGCCCTTCTAAGTAAGCTTCTTTGCATTACCCACAATATGTTAGGGTGCTTTGGGCAATTGGGCTTGTCTACAGCAATTATTCAATTTTTCCCAGACTTTTTTGTTCCCTTTTGTTTAGAGAAACTTTGTCGTCCCTCAAAAATCTTACGTTAATAATTGAGTTGTTCTCATGTCTCGCATGCCCATGACTGTGTTCCCAAGCTTACTTGACTTTACTAGTATTGTGCTAGCTGCATATTAAAGTCCCTAAATCAAAATGTCACATTAAACTTCTTTTGCTTCTAATTTTAATATCAAGTTTTGGGAAGTAAATGCAACAATGCATCAAGGATCTGATGGAAACTAAACAAGGTCTTTGTTTATTAGAGGGCAAGACTGTGTACATCTTGACCCCTTGGATCCAACGGAGTTTGGGATTATACTGGGTTGTATATGTAGAAGCCGGGTTTTCAAGAATAATATCTTTCTTGATGAAATATATAAATCACATTTCCTAAGCTTCTATCTTAGAGTCCTAATAAATTAATTGAAACATTCTTTTTTTACATGTGTTGTTGGACTGCAAGGGAGGATTGTGTGGCCCTAGCTACCTTTGGTGACCCCTCTGGAGGATGATTCAAAATTGGGATGAGCCTTTGGAACAATTGTCTTCCAACAATCCTTTGCCTCCCCCAAATATCATTGTTCAACTGTAAGTTTTTGGCTACTCGAACTTGAATAACTCTGTTCAATTGTAAGTGTTCGACTACTCAAATGTGAATAAATTAAGTTCCTAGCTTGTGAATTTATCTTATACTCGAACACTTAAAGTGCATCTGAAATTAAATCTTAGCTTTGCATCACTAATAACACGTCGGATTGTAATAACACGCTATTTTTCCCCATATAATTTCAAATATTTCAAATATTACTCATAGAAATCTGTGATGCATTTACACTTTTTTTGTGCTCTTAATTTAAAACATGGCATACATGAGCATGGTGCATCCCAAACAAATAGCAATATTGAGTTAGATAGCAATCGTTCATCATTCTCATTTGCAAGAAAGATATGAAGAAGAATTTTGAGATGCATTAAATTCAAACCTTGTATTCTGAGTAGTTTTGTGTACAAAGTGTTTCAATACCACTATATGTTCTATATAGTTCTCACAACAATACTATCCCACTAAGTATTTCATGTGATTCATATTTCAGAATGTGTGTATGAATATATTACATTCTGCACATCTGAAATACTAACCCTTATTCATTCCAATATATTCGGAACATGTCGAGAAAAAAAAATGTCGTTCCAATCCACCGCACACCTTCTGCCAAACTAACGCCAACTAGATACACTTCCCATGCATGAACGTATGAATGCGTATTATGTTTAGGTTCCCTTAGCGCGCGCGCACACACACATATATGACTCACGAATCTGCAATAGGCTGTGTCGCCGTGAGGCCAAACCCAAATGGAAAGAGTGGATCATAGTGTGAGTCACTGACGTTCATAGGGAGTTGATCAACCGTCTTGAACCATGTCCTCGGAAGCTTCCCGGTAAACTCGTAGTCGCCAAACAAGACATCACTCACTCCTTGTACTTCGCTCCCGGGGAACCATGCCGCGGCAAAAGCATCTATCAAGGGGAGATAGGGTTCCACCACCAGCGGCCGACCAGAGACGAGCACCGTCACGCACTTGATGCTGCCACACACGGCGGTGATGGTGGCGGGACCCGGCTCGGGGATGGTCATGTCTGCGCTGTCCCCGTCGTACTCGGCGTAGGGATATTCTCCCACGACCACAATGGCGTATGAGAATTCGTTGGATCCCATGAACTCCGCGTCCGGGTTCTCGTTGTACACTACTTCTGTGGTCGGGTCCACGACGCTTATAACGGCTTCTAATATTGTGGTGCCTGCATGACGCAGAACAAGCAGTCACTTAAGAAATCACCCAAAATAAGGGTAAAACATAGAGAAAATATCAAAACAAAAGTGACCTGTTTTTTCCCCAAAATAAAAGTTTGTACTGTCACAATGTGACATTGTATGTTGGCATTCCACGGTGTTTTTTTTATTATATGTTGACATTATTGGCTTTGTAACTTCCGTTTTGGGATTAAAAATATGGAACTCTTTTGGTACCTTCTCTATGTTTTATTTCTACTTTAGTCTTTTTCCCTCGTCGCTTAGTTTTGAAAAAGCTTTCGAGCGGTAACATTTTAGTTTTTTTTTGCAACATTAAAAAATTATTCAAAACTCGATACCTGTAGTGATGTTGCCACTCTTGCCTTGCCAGGCGATAGTCCACCCACCACATTGATTGCCTATATTGTTAGCATGAGTCCCGGCCACTAAGATTCTTGTTGCCTTTTTGGGGAGTGGGAGCAAAGGCCCATCATTCTTGAGCAGCACCAGTGATTTCCTCACTGCCTCCCTTGCCATATCTCTGTGGGCCTTGCTTCCGAGTTGGTCGGCGAGGCTTAGATCGGCCCATGGATCCTCGAACAGGCCCATCGCAAGTTTGACTCTCAAGATCCTTGTCACGGCGTCGTCGATCCGGTCCATGGGGATGAATCCGTTCTTCACCAAGTAGGTTAGGGTGTCTATGAACTCGGTGTGGTTGTTGGGGATCATAATCTGCAACCAACCAACCAACCAACCAAACAATTACTACAAGCAATTGATTACCTCAAAAAACAAAAAAGGTTGTATTCTGACCCCGGGGTCCCAACTCCTAGTACTAGCGAGGAAACTAAGCTGGGAGGAGATAAATGAAATTATAATCTCAGTACGGTAAGTAGGAAATATAACCATGTCAATTCCAGCTCGAGCACCCATTAAAACGGAGTACGTATAGTTTGAGTGTGGCGGATTTGTGATTCTATCTATCCCTTCTGAATCTGAAATCACAAAACCCTACCAAAGAAAAAGCAAAAACCAAAAAAAGACCATAAGAGATCATTTTCATCACAACATTGATGTATCTTAAGCAATACATCATGTCAATGTCATACGTTCGTGTCGATTTAGCTATCCACTTTCTTGCATTCATTTGTTAGAAATTTTATGTTCATTCTTCATATTCAATAAAAAATAATTCGGACGAGTTGTTTAAAATGTTTCAGACAATAGTAATACAATATATGAAGAGACCTTGAAGTTGAGAGTTCCCTTAAGGAAGTTGGTGACAAGAACGGGATTCGCGTGCATCTTCTCGCCATTCAAGCTAGAGTAGGAAACCATGACGGTGGAGACCCCCATGAGGATGGAAGGGTAGTACGCCGGCATATGAATCCTCAGCAACTCTTCCCAGTCTATCACCGTGTTACTTTCGTCTTTTCCATGCATCGTCCCACCGTCCCCCACGAAATGCTTTGCACAAGCTGCCACTTTCGTCCTACACACGACCAATAATATGTATTGAATGAAACAATGAACACAATGGTAAGTAATTGTCTGTGTTTGTCTTTGGTGTCAAAAGTGGGGTTTCCCGAGTGTTTTTCCCCAAAAACAACTCACTTGCCATCAACATAGAATGTTTTATTCAAATTTTGGTACTATGCAGGTTTGATTTAGTTTATAAGCAGGAGTGATTGATCTTTAGGTCTCTTTCTCTCTCTCTCTCTCTCTCTCTTGCGTTATCCAGTAAAGCCTCCCAAGTCCTGACTTCTTTTAGAAAACATAGAAGTCTTGTTTCTATCTTATACAATTAACTCCCTTTGAGATTTTTCATGCAGTAATTTATACACTGTTTTATAGCATTATCTTCTTGTACAACTCTAGAAGGCAGTTTTTAAGTTTAAATCTTTAGAATGCTACCTCTGCACCCACTCCACATATTCTAGTCATTCACCGTTATGGAGGACAATCTAATGGTATGTTTGGGAGGGGGTAATATTAGGTAGCTATAGGTAAAATTTACTTCGGTAAACTGAGACAGGATTTACCTCCTCATTATGTCACACTCCTTTCTTCACCTCCAACTGAGCGAATATATGATGGAAGTAACTCCCAAATTTAGGAACACTCTTTGGCCAATTTTGCAACAAGGCAACAGCACCGAGAAGCTCCCACGAGGCAAAGAAGCTGTGGCGATTTACATCGAGAGACTGAGGTAAGATTTACCTCCTCATTATGTCACACTTCTTACTTTCTTCACCTCCAAATTGGCGAATATATGACGGAAGTAGCACTTCCAAATTTAGGAAGACTCTTTTGGCCTATTCGGCAAGAAGGCGAGGCAACAAGAAGCTCCCAAAGAGCGTAGAAGCCGTGAAGACCCATCTTCGTCTCCCTCCTGAATGCTGCCATTGCTGTAACTTCAGAGCCCGTCTCTACGTTCTTCATCTCGCTGCTGCTGGAAGGTGAGTTATGCGTCTTCTCTGATTCGATTAGGGTTTATGTGACACATTATCTTCACTTGGATTGCTTCGATATATCTTTATTTGTGCGTTTTGGTTCCTTCTGAGACTTCGATTATTGTTCAAGTGTACCTCTGTTTTTCGCTGTAAATGTTTTTTCCCTGCAATGGGAACAAGATGCATCCAAAATCTGAATTCCATACGATGGTATTAAGCAGCTTAAAACTCATACAGTTGGAGTTTTCACTTGATTAACCTCTTAAAGAAAGTTGTGTGTGATCTCTGTTCGATATTGGAATGTCTGTCTACACTCTACAGTCCCATGTGTATATAATTACGGAGTATGTTAAAGCCAATTCCCAGTCCTTGTCAATTTTAGTTGTTTAGGTTCTGATTTTCATGTTTTTTTCCCCATTGAAACACAATTTAAGTTGATACGAAGTATAATACTGAAGTTACAACAAATGAACTAGTTCTGTACTTTATGCTTTAAAACGAAATCTTCAGATTGCTTGACTCAGAGTTCCAACAGCTTTGAGGTGCCATTGAGTTCTTGAACATTTTGAAACATGAAAACAGTAGATTTCTCCCATCATCTCAACATCAGACTAACACGAGAGAGCTATTTTAGTTGGCATAGTTGTGAAAACAGTAATTGAAAAATAAAAACTCTCTCTGTTTCATAAAACAGTTCCTATTTTGACTTTTAGGAGAAATAAGGACTGTATATTTGTTGTTGACATTCCCATTTTGCCCTTGATGTGATGGGTAAAAGTAAGATGTGATGGGTAGATTATTAGGGGAAAAAGTATGATGTGATAGGTAGGGTAAGAAAAAGTAGGAGTAAAGGTGGTTTTTTAATAGAAAGCAGAAGTGTTTTGGGGAAAACAAAAAAAATGAAAGAGGAAGTATTTCAAGAAATAGAGGGAGTACTTTTTACTCTTAGATGTACAAAGATTAGATGCCTTGTATTTCATTTTTACTGTTTTAGTCGTCCATCCTCGGAGTGCATTGTATCCAGCTGTTTGCACTAGATATGTACAATACGTCAAAATAGGCTAACCAAATAAAAAAAAATGAAAACCTCTATTCCAAACTAATCTTGAGAAAGCCAGGCATGGAAGTCATATTAAGTTATTGATCTTTTCTCAGGAACAGGCTGTCAACATTTTCCGCATATAAATGTGTCTTGACTATTGATACATGTGAAAATGTGATCTTTGTTTTCCGTGTGAACTGCATAGTGTCGGAAGCTGAGGGGAGGAACAAGAGTATTCCAAATCAGGAGTTGTATGAGCAATGGTGGCAGTTTCACAGGATGGCCGTTAAGAGTTTCTTGATGGTTTGCTGATGGACGCGGGAATTCAGGTGGTTATATTTGTTAATGTGTTTTGAAGTTTATCACTTTTATGCTAAAAAAGGTGTTTGTTTGTTTGTTTTTTTGTTTTACAAGGGTTGTGCTTTAAATTTTTTTTGAAATGGATGTTTTAAAAATGTTGTTTTTAAAGCCAAACTGCTGACATTGTTTGTGATGGTCATTTTTTAGTCTGATACAAATGCAGCACTGTTTTTTAAGCTAGAAATATTAGTATCCCCTCCAAAACGGTGTACCTGTTGTTTTATTTGGTCCCATTTTTTTTGTTTATATGTACTATGAATTTGACATTTTATTATTCTTATCACTTAACTGTGTTGCAAGAATATTAAAATTTGCAGTCTTGAAAATGTCATATCAGGTGGGCGTCAAGCTGTCAAGAAAGAAAGGCATCACTAGTTAAATTGTTTAATGGTCTTTCCCACAATGAAGTTTATGGCTTAACATTTGAAAAATAAAATGTGAGTAATTAAAATTTGTTTTGAAGAAATAAAAAAAATGGGAGCTCTTTTTTTAAATGGAAAAAGAGAAGCGTAAATTTTGTTCCGAAATAACTTAAAAAAAGAGTATAAATTTCTCAATTATCAAACTATATTAACCTCTAATTATCGTCTATTCTTTGTTACCTACTTTAAGCTGAGCTTAATCCATTTCCCAAAGATAGGTTAGACCTCGGCAAATATTGACTACTTGATTTTTAATCTTATCTAGGGAACTACCTCAATATAAATTGATAAAAAAAACTTTTATCATTAACAAAAAATTTAAATATTATTCTACCAATTGTTGTTGTGATGGAAAGAAAATTTAAATATTATTCTACCAATTGTTGTTGTGATGGAAAGTGCATAATGTTGAATAGTTGACTATCTTAGTAGCTTCTACTACATGGACTTGTCATTTTAGATTAACTTAAACTATGACTTGAAGCTTATCACCATGAATCATAGACATGAACAAAAAATGATATTGTTATGTATGTGTCTATATGGAGAGTATGCATTTGAGATAGAGGATATGAGGAGTTGGCGGTAGCTTCGTTTATTGAAGAAAACAGAGATGGTTGCACTGCCCCGTGGGTTAAGAACTCCCTATATATGTATAGTAAAAGTTCTAAATTGTTTTAGATTTAGAATGAGCAATATGTTGCTTCAGAATGAACGCTACGTGATTTGCGAACGAACATTACATTATTCTTAAATGAGTATTATAATTTTAATGAACAAATGTGTTAAAATGAAACGTTATTTATATTGTTTCAGAATAAGTACTACATTGATTCAAAATGAACACCACGTTATTTTAAAATGAATACTCTTCTTACTTCAAAATGAACATTTGTGCTTTGTGCGAAAATTAGTACTCCCTCTGTCCCAAATTATAATGCCTGTTTACTATTCACAGGGTCAAACTTCATTCACTTTCTTTCTCTATTTTCGTTAACAATTTGATAAAATAAAATACTATTGTCACTACTAGTTTTGTAGATCTTTTGATGTAGTTTTTTAATATGTAATTTTTATTTTTTAATTCTATACCATTTGTCATATAAAATGGTTTGAAAATATTTTCAGTCAAACATCGTAAACCGAAACAGGCGTTATAAAATGGGACGGAGGGAGTACTACTTAAGTCCAAAATGAGTACTACCCGACCGGCTGTGCCATAGTTCCTGTACAATATATGCACTCCAAGGCCATGTTCTTTTCACCTAATCTGATTGATTCTGATGTGATTGAAATAAGTTTTGATTTGAATGTAATTATATTTAAAACTATTTCTGATATAATATTTTAATACAAAAAATAAAAGTAAAAAAAATAAATTGAGAAAGAAAATGAACAAAACAATCGATCACACATTGGCCTAGCAGGACCAAGGGGCATCGGTGGGAACTCCTAGATCTGGCAAAATACAACCGGAACCGATTACCCGAACCGAAATATCCGAAACCGAAATGATTCGAAAAATGAAGATCTGATTTATAACCAAAAACCCGAAATGATCCGAATAGAACTGAAACCGAACTAAATAATTTATATCTGATTTAAATACAAAACCGATTAGATCCAAAACCGATAGTATCTGAACCGATTAAACCCGAAACCGATTATATCCGAAACCGATAATACCCAAAACCGATAAAACCCAAAACCGATTTGATCCAAAACCGATAAAACCCGAAACCGATTTGATCCAAAACCGATAATATCCGAACTGTGTTTGTCTTTCAATAAGCATATTATATTTTTAAATTTTTACTTTTAGTTTACCACTTAAACTATTTACATTACTTGCTCATTCCCTCATAAATGGATTATATGATGAATTTTATGGAATAACTAGATTTTATCCTAATTTCATCTAATTACAATAAATTTTATTGGTTCGAGAGTAATTTGATTAGTTTCAAACAAATTCACTCAGCATTAATCAATAACATTAATTAGATGTTAGTATTAATTAGCATTTTGAAAAGACTTTCTAGCGGTAGCATTTAGTGTTATCATTTTCAAATTTGATCTACACCATTACATTTAGGTGTAAAACTAATTATATTTGACTCTATTAAATTTAATTTTATCTAATTTCAACCAAATACACTCAAATAATTTATAAACTTTGCACTCAATTAAATAAAATTCACCTAATTTCACCCAATTTCACTCAATTTTTACCAAATTGTATTCAAATGGAACATGACACTATTTGAATTTATCTTTTATCTTTTCATTTATAAACATAAATGTATTAGTAGATGTGAGAAAAATTTGATATATCAAAACTAAATTTTAAAATCATTTTAATGATATTAAATTTATATCATAATTAAGTATATATTTTATCATAATTTGCAGTCCAAATTTGTAAAATATGACTAAAAAGTCAAAAAGGGAAGATTATTAGGGTAGAGATAATATAATTAGAAAAACTATAAAATAATAGGATGTGTGGAATTGATGATAGATTGATAAATGCGATAAAACATAAAAACAAACATGGATAATTAAATTTTAATTAGAAAATAATATATATCCAAAATATATTTGATCCGAAACCGAAATATATCCGGTTCAAATTGTATCCGAACCGAAATCTATCCGAACCGTATCTGAACCGACTCGAAACCGAATCGAACTGAAAAATGTAAAGAACCGAATCAAATGCGAACCAAAATTAAACCGATCCGAACCGAATCAAACCGAACCAATTATAACATATATCCGAATGATATTCAAAACGAAAAAATCCAACCCGAAAACGATCGGGTTGACCCGATTGCCACCAAGGAACTCTTATTTCTCTAAACAAGCCAGCGATTGTGAACTCATCTTCCTTCTCGTTCGTTGTTGCCGCCGCCGCCCAGCAAACTACATACCCGCCGCCGCAGCCGCGACAATTATCACTTCAGTTGCCTACAGAATTCCCCCTTTACGACCCATTTTTCAGTTTCACCTCATCGTTCTCAGTTTCGAAGGTAACTATGATTATTTCACTCAACCTCACTTCAATTTCATCTAGAATTATAAGCGTCCAATCTTTTCCTGTCGCAATTTGGCGCCTGCTCCATAGTAATCCCTACCCTCCTCTCCATGATGAAGACATAATATCTTCCGCATCGTCACTACGGCAAGAACTCCTGATGACCTGAAACAGTCGCTGAAATCCTCTCAGATTTCCATATCCAGTGAAACGATTGATGGTGTTCAGAAAAGGGCAAGATTCTCTCACTCGAACCCATTACTCATCCTGGAATTTTTCAAATTTACTTCGAAGAGACGCGAGTTTTTCCATTCTGCTTTTTCGTATGACACTATGCTGTATATTCTTGGTAGAGACAGGAAATTTGATGAAGTGTGGGAGATTTTAAAGGAAATGAAGAGAAAAGACCAGTCTTTGATTACTTCAAGAACCGTTCAAGTGGTTTTAGCCAGGTTGGCTAAGGTCTGTTCTGTTTCGCGGACAGTTGAGTCCTTTTGGAAGCTCAAGAAATTCGTTCCCCAGTTCGATACCCGTTGTTTCAATGCTCTGTTGAGGTCGCTGTGTCAGGAAAAGTGCATGTCGAGTGCTAGGAATGTGTACCGTAACTTGAAGCGGGACTTTAAGCCTGATTTGCAGACCTTTATCATACTTTTGTCAGGTTGGAAATCATCAGAGGAGGCTGAGGAGTTTTTCTCAGAGATGAGGGATCATAATGTGGATCCAGATGTCGTTTCGTACAATTGTTTGGTTGATGATAATTGCAAGGGGAGACAGGTTGACAAGGCATTTGAGGTTGTGAAGGAAATGAGGGAGAGGGATAAAGATCCGGATGTAATCACATACACGAGTTTGATTGGGGGTCTGGGGCTTGTAGGGCAACCAGATAAGGAAAAGAAAGTTTTGACAGAGATGCGAGAGTACGGATGTTACCCTGATGTTGCTGCTTATAATGCTGCCATTAGAAATTTTTGCATTGCAAATAGGATTGGGGACGCGTTTAAACTGGTAGATGAGATGGCAAAGCAAGGTTTGGACCCTAATGCAACTACCTATAATGTGTTCTTAAGATCATTTCATCTGGCAAATGATTTGAAACGGGCATGGAGTTTATACCAGAAGATGAAGGAGAACGGGTGCTTGCCAAACACGCAATCCTGTATGTTCTTGATCAGATTGACTACGAGACATGAGACTGCAGAGATGGCTCTCGAGTTGTGGAATGACGTGGTTGAGAATGGATTTGGCTCATATACATTGGTATCTGATGTTTTATTTGATTTGCTTTGTGATTTGGGAATGTTGAAAGAGGTAGAGACGTGTTTCTTGCAAATGATGGAGATGGGACATAAACCTAGCAATGTTTCTTTTAAGAGGATCAAGGTTCTTATGAAATTGGCCGATAAGGGTGAAGCAATTCAAAAGTGATCAGATAAGATGGCTGCTTTTAGTTTTGCAGCTAGACACAGTGTTGAGAGTCAGACATCCAATTTTGAATCCAACTTCATGCCCTTCTAAGTAAGCTTTTTTGCATTACCCACAATGTGTTAGGGTGTTGTGGGCAATTGGGCTTGTCCACTTCAATTATTTAATTTTTCCCAGACTTTTTTGTTTCCTTTTGTTTAGAGAAACTTTGTCGTCCCTCAAAAATCTTACATTAATACGTGCGTTGTTCTCATGTCTCGCATGCCCATGAATGTGTTCCCAAGCTTACTTGACTTTACCAATATTGTGCTAGCTGCATATTAAAGTCCCTAAATCAAAATGTCACATTAAACTTCTTTTGCTTCTAATTTTAATATCAAGTTTTGGGAAGTAAATGCAACAATGCATCAATGATCTGATGGAAACTAAATAAGCTCTATGTTTATTAGAGGGCAAGACTGTGTACATCTTGACCCCTTGGATCCAATGGAGTTTGGGATTATACTGGGTTGTTTATGTAGAAGCTGGGTTTTCAAGAATAATATCTTTCCTGATGAAATATATAATTACAGAAATATATAATTACATTTCCTAAGCTTATTTCTTATAGTCCTAATAATTCATTGAAACATTCTTTTTTTACATGTGTTGTTGGACTGCAAGGGAGGATTGTGTGGCCCTAGCTGCCTTTGGTGAGCCCTCTGGAGGATGATTCAAAATTTGGGTGAGCCTTTGGAACAATTGTCTTCCAACAATCCTTTGCCTCCCCCAAATATCATTGCGCAACTGTAGGTTCTTGACTACTCGAATCTGAATAACTCTGTTCAATCGTAAGTGTTTGACTACTCAAATGTGAATAAATTAAGTTCCTAGCTTGTGAATTTATCTTATACTCAAACACTTAAAGTGCATTTGAAATTAAATCTTAGCTTTGCATCACTAATAACATGTCGGATGGTAATAACACGCTATTTTTCCCCATTTACACTTTTTTTGTGCTCTTAATTTAAAACATTGCATATATGAGCACGATGCATCCCAAACAAATAGCAATATTGAGTTGGATAGCAATCGTTCATCATTCTCATTTGCAAGAAAGATATGAAGAAGAATTTTGAGATGCATTAAATTCAAACCTTGTATTCTGAGTAGTTCTGTGTACAAAGTGTTTCAATACCACTATATGTTCTATATAGTTCTCACAACAATGCTATCCCACTAAGTATTTCATGCGTGTATGAGTATATTACATTCTGCACATCTGAAATACTAATCCTTATTCATTCCAATATATTCGGAACATGTCGAGAAAAAAAATGTCGATCCATTCCACCGCACACCTTCTGTCAAACTAGCGCCAACTAGATACACTTCCCATGCATGAATGTATGAATGCGTATTATGTTTAGGTTCCCTTAGCATGCACACACACATATATATGACTCACGAATTTGCATGAGCCTGTGTCGCCGTGAGGCCAAACCCAAATGGAAAGAGTGGATCATAGTGTGAGTCACCGACGTTCATAGGGAGTTGATCAACCGTCTTGAACCATGTCCTCGGTAGCTTCCCGGTAAACTCGTAGTCGCCAAACAAGACATCACTCACTCCTTGTCCTTCGCTCCCGGGGAACCATGCCGCGACAAAAGCATCCATCAAGGGGAGATAGGGTTCCACCACCAGCGGCCGACCGGAGACGAGCACCGTCACGCACTTGATGCTGCCACATACGGCGGTGATGGTGGCGAGACCCGGCTCGGGGATGGTCAAGTCCGCGCTATCCCCATCGTACTCGGCGTAGGGATATTCTCCCACAACCACAATGGCGTATGAGAATTCGTTGGATCCCATGAACTCCGCGTCCGGGTTCTCGTGGTACACTACTTCTGTGGTCGGGTCCACGGTGCTTATAATGGCTTCTAATATTGTGGTGCCTGCATGATGCAGAACAAATAGTCGCTTAAGAAATAACCCAAAATAAGGGTAAAACATAGAGAAAATATAAAAATAGAAGTGACCTGTTTTTCCCCAAAATAAAAGTTTGCACTGTCACAATGTGACACTGTATGTTGGCATTCCACGATGTTTTTTGATATTATATATTGACATTATTGGCTTTGTAACTTCCGTTTTGGGAATAAAAACATAGAACTCTTTTGGTACCTTCTCTATGTTTTATTTCTAGTTTAATCATTTTTCCTTCGTCGCTTAGTTTTGAAAAAACTTTCGAGCGGTATCATTTTAGTTTTTTTTGCATCATTAAAAAATTATTCAAAACCCTGTACCTGTAGTGATGTTGCCACTCTTGCCTTGCCAGGCGATAGTCCATCCACCACATTGATTGCCTATATTGTTAGCATGAGTCCCGGCCACTAAGATTCTTGTTGCCTTTTTGGGGAGTGGGAGCAAAGGCCCATCATTCTTGAGCAGCACCAGTGATTTCCTCACTGCCTCCCTTGCCAAATCTCTGTGGGCCTTGCTTCCGAGTTGGTCGGCGAGGGTTAGATCGGCCCATGGATCCTCGAACAGGCCCATCGCAAGTTTGACTCTCAAGATCCTTGTCACGGCGTCGTCGATCCGGTCCATGGGGATGAATCCGTTCTTCACCAAGTAGGTTAGGGTGTCTATGAACTCGGTGTGGTTGTTGGGGATCATAATCTGCAACCAACCAACCAAACAATTACTGCAAGCAATTTGATTACTTCAAAAAACAAAAAGGTTGAATTCCGACCCCGGGGTCCCAACTCCGAGAACTAGCCTGGAAACTAAGCTGGGAGGAGATAAATGAAATTATAATCTCAGTACGGTAAGTAGGAAATATTACCATGTCAATTCCAGCTCCAACACCCATTAACACGGAGTACGTATAGTTTGAGTGTGGCGGATTTGTGATTTTATCTATCCCTTCGGAATCTGAAATCACAAAACCCTACCAAAGAAAAAGTAAAAACCAAAAAAGGACCATAAGACATCATTTTCATCACAACATTGATGTATCTTAAGAAATACATCATGTCAATGTCATACATTCGTGTCGATTTAGCTATCCACTTTCTTGTATCCATTTGTTAGAAATTTTATGTTAATTCTTCATATTCGATAAAAATATAATTTGGACGAGTTATTTAAAATGTTTCAGACAATAGTAATACAATATATGAAGAGACCTTGAAGTTGAGAGTTCCCTTAAGGAAGTTGGTGACAAGAACACGATTCGCGTGCATCTTCTCGCCATTCAAGCTAGAGTAGGAAACCATGACGGTGGAGACCCCCATGAGGATGGAGGGGTAGTACGCCGGCATATGAATCCTCAGCAACTCTTCCCAGTCTATCACCGTGTTACTTTCGTCTTTTCCATGCATCGTCCCACCATCCCCCACGAAATGCTTTGCACAAGCTGCCACTTTCGTCCTACACACGACCAATATTATGTATCAAATGAAGCAATGAACACAATGGCAAGTAATTGTCTGTGTTTGTCTTTGGTGTCAAAAGTGGGGTTTCCCGAGTGTTTTTTCCCCAAAAACAACTCACTTGCCACCAACATAGGGGTAGGATTTGGGGTAGTCCTGGGGAACATCCCCTTGTAAGCCAAGGATGATATCGGTCATGTCTTTCACGATTTTGGGATCTTCACTGTAGCTTTCGAAACACCTTCCCCATCTCGGATCTCTGCACACCTATTCGTTTTTCCCCATTCAAATCGGAAGGGTAAGTACGTAATTCTTAAAAATATATGAACTGGTTTGTAAATTGTAATATTTTTTAAAAAATATATGTAATCGTATAATAATACCGCGATACATGGAGCAAAAGCATAATTGATGCCGGTGGCCCTAGTTTCAAGAGCAGTTGCCTCACCAATTTTCTTTACTAGTTGTGGATCCCTACATGAAAAAAGAGAAGATAAATCTAAGTTACATGTGTTTTTTTGAAAGAAATGTAGTATTGTTTGTTTTCCAACAAGGTAAAAATCCGGTGACATTTTTGCACTTTGTACAATCTACTCCGTAATGGCGTTAGAATATAAAAATAATTCTTGAACTTATAACTACAAGTTTAAAGTTTTGGTTGAGTTAGTTCATTGACGTGATATCATAATTTTGTTGACCAAGAGGCAGATCACAAGTTTGAAAATCGCTATCATCTAGTTTTTTTAAAAAATTAAGATTTCACGTGCAAGGTTTGAAGCGATCATTTTGAACATACAAATAAATAGATAATATATGGAGTATATGAAACCAATAAAATTTTTGGAGCAAAATCTTTGGGTGCATTGGATAGTTGCCATATTATGGATATATATGTGTCAGAGTAGTCTTAAATCTTAATGTTCCAAAGTGCCAAAAATTGAAAACAAGTGGAAATATATCACTTTCATCACATCAATTGCGTCTAGATATCTCTTTATAGCTTTAATAGAAAACATTTATTGAATACAGTCTTACGTAATTAATGTATATATATTCTATATCAAAAGGGTGATATTAAGTTCATTCCCTAAATGGTTATATTATAAGTTCATCAATTTTTTCTAAATTCCTACTATAGATGCTCTTAAAAATAGACTTTAAAAATAAAAGACTATGTGGCCCCTATTAAAATACTTAGCAAAAAGTGGAGAAAATTATTAAAAATAAAAGTAGATAAATTAACTCCCTTGTTATTGGTTTGGAGTCTCTTTGGAAATATAGTTAGAGATTAACTTTTGCGTTTTGAAAAGGCTATTTATGAGTAGTTTTTAGCTTTAGCATTTTTGAAATTAGTCAATACTGTTAAAATTTTATCTAAGACGCTAACGCTAATAAAAAATGTTATTTCCAAAATGGCCTTCGGTAAATTGGCGAGGTAGGGTCCGCCTAACAATTTATGGATATTATTTATAGTTCGGCCCGGTTCTAGTGACACCGGAGAACGGTGCCACTCCGGTGCCACTAGAACCGGGCTGTTTATAGTTAAATAACATTTATTCTATATATCAAAAAATCATCAAAGTTTATCTTTCTTTAAATATTTTTATTGATCTTTTGATATAATAAATTAGTTAGGTCATGCTCCGTAACTAGTTCTCTAAAATATTTGACGTCATTTTTAAATATATACTCTAATTTTTAGTGTTTACACCAGTTTTTAAATATATTATATTGAGAATAATTCAATTAGAAAAAGTATTTAATATTTATCATTTGATTTTTTTCTTATTTGCTTGATGTAAGGGTGCAATTTATTTTATAATAGTAATAATTAAAAGTGTCATTTTTTATTTTAGTACGGAAAAAGGAATTTAACATTCCATCCCCATTGCAGTTTATGATATTAGACCTCATAAATCAGAACGAGAAGAAAATTTTAGGGCGGGTGAATGT